TAGGATCACTATAAACTTCCAAGCGGGTGTGATTTGGAGCTGGTTGGAGCTAAACTGTGCAGAGCTGTGGCCCTCCAGGAATTGAGTTTGAGACCAATGATGTAAAGTCCATAGCTGAAGAGTTACAAACTTCCACTGGCATTGATATCAGCGCAAAACTGTGCATCAAGAGCGTCCTGGAATGGGTTTCTATGGCTGAGCAGCTGCTTACAAGCCTCACATTACCAAGTGTAATGCCAAGCATCGGATAGAGTGATGTAAAGTAGGGCTGCACGATTAATCAAAATGAAATCGCAATCACGATTAGGCAAAAGCTGTGATTGTCATGCATATCTTTCAATGAAGCACAGTTCTGTGATCAGTAGTAAGTCTCCATCTGAAGTAAGGTAATGCACATCGTTCCATGAAACAGAAGATGGAACGTTTGACGCAAGTTGCTTTTTCAAATACACGTTATAAACACCTCAAACTCACTGGGTAAAGGCTTGATGGTATACAGAAGCGGGCTCAGATGGACCAGCATTTACTACACAGAGATGTAGTTCATTAACGAGCTACGCAAACTGCTTTCATAATCGCAGAACAATTTCATTGATTTTATACTCTCGATTAAATCGATCTGCGATTATGAACACGGTTTTGCGTAGCTTGTGAGTGAACTACTGCTTCATTGTTAGTTTCCGGCCGAGATTTACTACTGATCACAGAACTGTGCTTCACTAAAAGATACTCATGACAATCGCATTCGATTTAATCGTGCAGTCCTAATGTAAAGCAACTCACCACTGGACTCTGTAGCAGTAGAAACCTGTTGTGTGACGAATCACACTTCTCTGTTTGTCAGTCTGATGGGTGAGTCTGGAGAACGTTACTTGCCTGGCTGCATTGTGCTAACTGTCAAGATTGGATGAGGAGGGATGATGATAAGGAGCCGTATTTCAGGGGTTGGGCTCAACCCTCTACTTCCATTGAAGGGAAATCTTACTGCTTCAGCATATCAAGACATTTTGGACAATGCTACTGTATGCTTCCAACTTTGAGGGAACAGTTTGGGGAAGACCCTTTTCTATTCCAGCATGACTGTGGCCCAGTGCACAAAGCAAGGTCCATGAAGACATGGTTGGATGAGTTTGGTGTGGAAGAACTCGACTGGCCCGCACAGAGTCCTGACCTCAACCACATCAAACACCTTTGGGGTGAACTGGAATGGAGCCAGGCCTTCTCGTCCAACATCAGTGACTGACCTCACAAATGCTCTACTGGATAAATGGGCAAAATTTCCCACCGAAACACCCCAAAATTTTGTGGAAAAAAAACACAGAAGAATGGAAGATGTTATAACTGCAAAGGGGGGGACCAGTGTATTTAGGGGGACCAATGTGTTGTCATGAGGGTTGCAAAGAGGTGGAAAATTCCCAGAAACTTTTCGGAAAATTTTCCGCCTTTTGCAACCCTAGTTTTCATTAAAGTCACTGTACTGTAGTTACTAATGTGGTTCGGGTTGAATTAATCACTGTGGTACGTCTGGTCAAAACGCAACGAAGATGCTTCTTGCTTCAGAGAAGATTTATTTCCATTAGCATATGCAAACGTAGGTGTTTGTGTGTTTTTTTTTAAGATGCATTCACATGATTAAACAACACCACTAGAAATGAGGAAAACTCTCATGCACTCCACACTCTACGGATTCATACCAACGACTGATGATTCTTATGACGCACTTTCCAGCACATTCTAGCATACTCCGTATTTCCTCAAGGGGGCAGTAACAGTCCACAGTCATTGAATAGTCCAACACTCAGCAAGAAAAACCGTACTAATATAACTCTATTACCTAAGAGTGTCTGAATACATAGCCCTTTGCAACAGTCACTGTTGGTGTAATGGTCAGTTGTTCCAATACTTTTGTCCATATAGTGTACATTGCAGTGCCTCGAAGACTCTCATTCTGATTGTTTGTTTAAACTGAAGTCTGAGTTAAACTTGTTTTCTGTGGTCTTTAATGTCTTTAATGTTGACGGTAGAGCTTAACTTGAAACTGGAATGTTCCTTTAAATGTGCCAAGTTTCTACATTGCTTGTCTAATGAACAATATAATATGGTGGAAGAATTTTTGCTATGGCCAAAAAAAATCACTAATGCATGGGCTTTGATGGATTATAGTTCTATTGTCTCACTGTAAGCAACACTAAAAATGTTTGTATGTGTAAGTACCACTGATGAAGTTTAATTATTGACCTTTTTGCATTTGATTCTGCTCTTCTTGGTGCGTTTGAATCATTTCTCAACTCTGAAATCCAGTAGCAGAATCTCTTTCAGCAGTTTGTCAGTGGGATTTGAGGGTTACTTCAGTCACTCTCACACACATAAATTGTGTATTTGTGTGAGATGGAATGCACCATCTGCTGGTGGTCAGCGGATGCCAGCATTCTTGAAGCGATAAAGTTTGGTTTCAGAGAAGGAATAGAGTTGCCATTCTGGTAGCAGCTGTCTTGACACGTGGATAATGAAATGCACAAAAACGCTCGGGACCCAAGCCATATCTACAGTCTTAGAAACTGCATAGTAATGGTCTTGTAACCCTTCAGAAAAATAGTGGTTTTCTCTTAGTATTGCTGTCATTCTTATTGTCATTCTCTATCGCCAGCTTGTTGTTGGCATTCTGTGTCACCTAATCTAATAATGGAACAAATCTACAGTTAATCCTAAATTTAACCTCTCTGGATAACCTTAATCCCTACAGACTCCAATTCAATCCAGTCTCCACCTTGCTCTTGAATGGTGTAAGGTGGTGCCACGATTGAGGCCATGTCACAGAGTATGATAGTGTGATGAATTAGTATTGGTTTCAAATTCAGATCTATTCTGCTGATTTCCACCCTGTAAAAAGTGCTGAGGCTGCAGATTCGGTCTGGCTACTAATAGGATTAATGAACTGATATTTCCAGCACTCACATGGATTGTATCTGAAATCTATGACGCTGTTCTTTTTGCCCACTAGCCTCCAATCCCTAACCACCATGAATGGTCAGGAAGTAATTTGGTGGTTGGAAGGCTTGTGCACCTGTTTCTCGCAGGCTTTTGGGAGTGCATGTAAGCGGTTGAGTTAAGAGCTTTCATGGCCGGCAGAAGCAGTGAAGTGCGTTTGGGTGAGGGTTAGTCAGAAGAAGCAGAAGCTCTGTCCTCTTGTCATGGACAGGTGTGTGTTTAGGCAGGAGAGGAAGGACGACAGACTGCAGATGACAGCTGTCACGCAGGCACTCTACACTAGCCACATGGGGAATGAAGCTCTGCAGAATGTGCTGCTGGCTACTGAGATGAATGTTTGAATTTAGTGCTTAGTTGTAAAGTGTTCTGTATGCAATGTATGAATGGGATTTCTAGTTTGGTTTCTTTTTAAGTTTTGTTTGGTTTTTGTTCGGGGTTTTGTTCTGGGCATTGATTTGTTTTAGGTTTTGTTTTGTCCTGGGTTTTTTATTTTGGGCCTGGTTTGTTCTGGATTTTGATTTTTGTTTTAGGTTTTGTTTTGTGTTGTGTTCTGGGTTTTGCTTTTTCCTGGGGTTTGTTTTTAGTTTTGTTCAGGGTTTGGGCTTTTGTTTTGGGTTTTGTTTTGGGCCTGGGTTTGTTCTGGATTTTGGTTTGTTTTGTTTTGGGTTTTGTTCTGGGCCTTGAATTATTCTGGGATTTGTTTTGTTCTGGGTTTGTTCTGGATTTTGATTTGTGTTCTAGGTTTTGTTTTGTTTTTCATTCTGGGCCTTGGAATGTTCTGGGTTTTGTTTTGTCCTGGGATTTGTTTCTGGTTTTGTTCAGGGTTTGGGCTTTTGTTTTGGGCCTGGGTTTGTTCTGGATTTTGATTTTTGTTTTAGGTTTTGTTTTGTTCTGGGTTTTGGGGTTTGTTCTAGCCCTTGGTTTGTTCTGGATTTTGATTTTTGTTTTAGGTTTTGTTTTGTGTTGTGGTATTTGTTTTGTCCTGGGTTTTGTACTAGGTTTTGTTTTGTTATAGGTTTTTTGTCCTGGGTTTTGTTTTTGTTCTGGTTTTTGTCCTGGGTTTTGTTCTAGGTTTTGTTTTAGGTTTTGTTTCATTCTGGGCCTTGAATTATTCTGGGTTTTGTTTTGTTCTAGCCCTTGGATTGTTCTGGATTTTAGTTTTTGTTTTGGGTTTTGTTCTGGGCCTTGAATTATTCTGGGTTTTGTTTTGGGTTTTGTTCGTTTTTTTTTATACTACTCTGTAAAAAATGACAGTGAATTTAACGGTAAAAGACTGTAAAAATGTGCTTGTGATGGGCTAAAGTTCATCATGTGACTTTCTCATCACCACCTGCATTTGGTGGTTATCAGTGTATTACAAAGGTACAAAACAGATTTCAGTACTTAAATAAGGTTGGTATATTAACATTATATCAGTTAATGAAATTACGGTATTTAACTGTAAATTTAAGTTAAAACCGTAAAACCTAAAACGTTGCTACCGTACTTTTTATGGTAAAATTCCGGCAACCACAGCTGCTGGTTTTTTACCGTAAATTTTACGGATTTTTTTTTACAGTGTAGGTTTCGTTTTATGGGTTTTGTTTTTGTTCTGGTTTTTGTCCTGGGTCTTGTTCTAAATTTTGTTCTGGGCCTTGGATTGTTCTGGGTTTTTTGTTCTGGACCTTGATTTGTTCTGGATTTGATTTTGTTTTGTTTTGAGTTTTGTTTTGTCCTGGGTTTTGTCATGTTTAAATATTATTTCTGATGTCCGACATGATAAACATAAGCTTTTCTACATAAAGAAATCCAAGCATTATCTTGCCAGAAAAAAAAAAAAAATTTGACTACAAAAAAGTAACGAATAAACATTGGATAAATTCAAGATAATTGAGTCATTTTTCCCCCCCGAGCCACCTCAATGTCCCTATTAACCTGAATTCAACACACCTTAGATTTACAGCATTATCAGCTGCATTTAAATGAGCTTAAATGACTGTTATTCTTTGTCTCCACCTTCGTTGTCTCTACAGGCAGCTCCGGAGCCTGAGCCTGTACACAAAGATGTCACAGCATCTGCACCTGTGGAAGAGCCCACCCCTGTGCCAGAGCCAGAGCCTGAGCAAGTACCCGCCTCGTCACCAGCACCAGTGGCTGCACCAGTGGAAGAGCCAGTGCCTGAACCAGTGAAGGAGTCTGTCCCAGAACCAGAACCAGTGCCTGAACCCGTCCTCGAGGTGCCCATCCCTGAACCAGCATCTGAACCCACCCCAGAACCAGTTTCTGTACCAACCCCTGAACCAGCGCCTGCACCCATCGCAGAGCCAGCGTCCGTACCAGCCCCTGAAGCAGCGCCTGTGCCCATCCCGGAGACCTCACCAGCAGCCGAATCTCTTCCAGAGGTCCTAGAGAATAATGGTATGGATGCATCAGCACTCCGCAGCAAGTTTAAAAGTGTGTAGTACTATTTTTGGGTACAGTCCTGCCATTGCAAGTACAAGTAACCCTGTGAAGAATGCTGGGTAACACATTGTTTTTCTTTGTGTCCTTGTTACGCATGTTAAATATGCTTACTATAGTAGTAATAGTAAATTAGTAAACCAGTAATTAGTAATAGTAAATGGTAAACCAAGCCCTAATCCAAAAAGCTATAGTAAGTATGTGTAGTTAATTTATATTACTCAGCACTTAAATGTATAATTACACTGTAACAAGGACTCCTTAAAATAAAGTGTAGTCGAATGCCGCTGACACGTCTCACTGATTCGGTGTAGGAATATATTTAGAATTATTTGTTTATTTGATGACCAATCATTTTTATTTACATTATTTTTTTATTTCCTCTAGCTTACTTTGTTCCAGGATTATTATAGTTAACTAAAACTGAAACTAAATTAAAACCATAAAAAATATTTTCTCTACTCTAAATAAAATAAACATGCAAATAAACAAGTGAAATCAAATAAAATATGAAAAACTTTTTATATTAGCTAGTAGCAAAGGCAAAACTAAAATAAAATTAATAACATACATTCTGGCGGGTAATTCTTTTATATTTATACTTTTCTCTCATGCACTGAGGTAGTTTGTTTGGATCCTGGCTTCTTTCTTCAATCTGTCATTTTCTTCTGGTTCATATCTGCCTGTGGCTCTCTGAGCTGCAGGTTTCATTATGCTCCATATGAGCGAGTGTTTTGAGAGCAGGGCTGTGAGTGCTTGCGAAGATAAACTCAAGCACACTGGAGCTTTGTGCTCTGCAACTGTAAACTGATGCCTTTGTTCTCCCAGCGGTACATTGGCCTCTAGGTTACAGATTCTGCTGCGTTTACATCCAGACATCAGCTGGTGTGCTCAGATATAACCCTCGTTTGCAAAAGACCAGGGTCTCTACTGCAAAAACATGTCAGTTAATGAATTATAACAGCAACAGAGCTAGTTTTAGCAGCACGTGCCGCAGATATGAAGTGTGTGTGAAATAGGTTTCAGCTGCCAACAGCGTGTGCAGAACAGCCTTTATCCTTGATTTAATATAAAGACTTCCTAGCTGCCGGTGCCAATGACTTGACAAGCCTGCAAGTGGATTAGACCTGGTAGGATGATAATCTGGGTTAGGAACAGGGCGCAGTGTCACGGAAGATTTTCTGCCCTTCCTGTGTTGTTGTCTGATCCGTCAGTACAATACAGACACCTTCATACCGATCGAACACCTGCTTTTTGTATCCACATCAAGTGAGGTCCTCTATAGCTCACTTAGACAGGAGACAGAAGTATTTGGCCGACATTTAAAGTGACCGGTGACCGAAATCATTCTAATATGAATTTATTCAGATTATCACTGTTGAAAACAGTTGTGCTTGCTATTTTTGTGGAAACTGTGAAACTTTTTTTTTTAAAGGATTCTTTGAAAAAAAAATAAAAAACAGCATTTATTTGAAACCAAAATCTTTTTATTGTAGCGTAAAAGTCCACTTAATCACTTTCCATCAGGTAAATGTTAAATCTGATATCGTGTCTTTCAGATGTTGCAGCTGCTTTACTGACAGATGAGGTCGAGACCCCCGCAGTCGTGCCCGGTAATAAGAGGACCACCAAGTTTGAGAAGAGAATGACCGAGGAGGAGATGGAAGAGGAGCAGAGGTCAGTATTTTCCTTCTCCCTCAATCCATCCACTGAAGCAATAGCATCTCCAAATAACACACAGCAGTGAAATCTACATTTCACGGTTTTGTATTTCATATATATCTAGAAATGCTTGAATTGAACAGCATTTCAAGCATGTGAAGTGTGTATGTGATGTATTTGAAGCCTCCCCTCTGAAGTATGCAGAATGATGCTTTTTGGGGAATGTCCAGTAGATTTGTTGTCAGAGGAAAATTCTTGTTATTCCTCCTCATAATTTTGGGCCATTTGTAGCCGTGTAATGCACAGCCCACCTCCACCCACTCCAGCACTCTCTGTGAGTGTTCGGATAAGGAGGGTGAGATGATCACAACAGCGCTCATATCTGTAGCAGACTGTCAGGGGCGCTCGCGGGGCCTCAAGGTTTGACTGGAGGTTCGGGCACACTTTGCTGGGGGTGGGTGTGGTTTGTTTGCTAGATAAAATGTGTAGATTGAGCAGTGGGGGGTCTGAACTAAAAAAAAAAAAAATAGGTTACACATTTGACTGACTATGGGGGCATTTACATAACAGAAGTTTTCAAAAACTTTTTTTTAGTTGAAAACTGTCATCTAAACTACAAAAATGCAAATTTGTGAAAACTGTGACGTCATGCGTATTACATATTCAGTCTATAGGAAAGCATATGCGCGCAGACGCGTAGTGTTTCTTTACAAATTCACATCGCGACTACTGGCCTGGCAAGAATAATACAGCGTTTTTAGTTGTTTTGCACAGGTCCGTGTGAACGGGAAAGGTTTGATAACGTTGTTGTCTGTACGCAAATCTTTTCAAAAATGCAAAGGGAAAACTTTTCTGTTGTCGTGTAAACATTGTGTTACTTTGTAACTACGTCAAGTTAACCAACTCTCATTAGAGTATTAGTAGACTTGTTAGGGTTAGAGTAGAATAGGTTGATATGCACTTTAGAGTAGGTAGAGTGTCTGATGAACATCAAAATAAAGTGTTAGCAGATATTAAGCAGATACACTACTAATACTCTAAAGAGAGTAAGAGCTCAAGAGAAGACTGGTGGTGTTGTTTTTTTCTGAATTTCATTCCTTTTATCGAAATGACTCAAACATAAATCTAAATAAACCATTTAAATCCATGAATAAAGTAATGTCAGCATCGCTTTAGTCATTTCTTATACACTAGTCCAGGGTTAGGTCCACAAGCTTAAAAAAAATAAAAATAAAAAACTTAAGTTTTGTTCTTTTGAAAATCACATGAAACCTGGTTTCATTCTTTACTGTACACTAGAATTGAAAACTTTGAGGGGTATATTAAAAATATTTGTATTAATTTACTTTTATTAATTAATACTTTTATTCAGCATGAATGCATTAAATCAACCAAATGTGACAGTAAAGTCACAGTATACTAATTGATACAAAAGATTTCTGTTTCAAATGAATTCTTTTGAACTTTCCATTTATCAAAGAATTCTGAAAAAAGTATCATAGTTTTCACAAAAATAATAATCAGCTCAACTGTTTTCAACATTGATAATATTAAAGGGATAGTTCACTGATGTCACATGGACTATTTTAACAATGTCTTTACTAACTTTCTACATAATATTTCACAATATTCCTGTTTTTGTTTTTTTGATGAATTTAACACAACCTTGGTGTTTTTGAGACTTTCAAAAACAATAAAACTGACCCCAAACTTTTGAACGGCAGTGTATATTTCCTGCATATTTGTCACTTCCCTTGTGGAGTGTTAGAGAGTGGGTTTACATGTGCAACAAAAAACACAATTTATTCATTTATGTCATGTACCGTGAAACCGGTATAATTTTGAAAAATACCGTGATATAAATTTTTGGTCATACCGCCCAGCACTAATTGTGACACATTACAGAAGAAAACTAGGGAAAAGCTCACAAATGCAGGTCACTGAACACTTATAAAGGAGTGTGTGTGTGTTATGTGCATTCCAAAGCATTACAGGTTGATTATATAGAATATTTTTATAGCCATTCTGATGTATAATTACATTTGCAAGTCAGAAGACTTTCGATGGAGAACACATGATGCTGCTTTGAATATTAAGCAAAGTAATATCAAAATAATTTATAGCTTTTATTTTATATAACTGTATTAAAGGAGTGCATTAATAATCATGCATTTGGACATCTAAGCCAATTAAAAATGTCTGAATGTCACTGTTGAATTACTAGTGCAAGTGTCTGTTTATTAGTATTGTGACAGTTTATGAAGAAAAGTGAAAAGAATGTAGTGGGGAAAAAAATGCTCCCATGGAATTTGACCATATGTTTTGTTTTTAATCAAGATGCAATGACTTTCAGACATTTTTGGATGTGGTTTGGTGTCCAAATACTTTTTGCTTTACTTTGCATTTACATCCATTCAATCCAAAAAGAAAAAAAAGAGTTGTAAAATGATAAGGTCAATAAAATGTCATGCAGTGAATTGTACATATCAGGGTGAGACAAAATTCATATTTTAAGAATTGATCCCTTTTAGTTATTGAGAGTGAATCTGTTGAATTAGACACACTCTACACAGGACACAAACTGGAAATTCAACAGAGGAATTTCAACAGTTTTGCATAAAACACAATTGATCATTTGACTTTTATGCCTATTTATTCCCTGATATGTAGAGTATAATTTAAGTTCATTTACAGTTATGCATTTGGTAGATACTTCTATCTAAATAGACTTGCACTGCATTCAATGTATTCATTTTATCAGGTTATGCTTTCCATCGGAATCGAACCCACAATCTTGGTGTTGCTAGCGCCACACTCTGCTGTTTGAGCTACAGGAAAGATCCTCTGAGCACAATACTGTCAAAACTATAAACATCCATCAAAATGCTTTAATTTGCCAAGTAGTATCACCGAAATGTTACTGACGTTAAATTATAGTGAAGTAGCATTAAATATCATTGGGAGGATACTTCCAGTCTTGTTTTCTGGTTTTAGACTTGTATGTGTGTCTTTGCATGTGTATTTGTATCATTGTTGTGCTCTGCATTGGAAACAAAGAGTAGGGTCCATAAAAGGGGGCAAACGTCAATATGATTGATGACTGACCTTTTGACCTCATAATAGTATCCAGATGTGACCTCTGACCTCATAATAATATCCAGATGTGACCTCTGACCTCAATAATATCCAGATGTGGATATCAGCATATGTGTAATTCCGACGTCGACCTGTGACCTCCGGGAGAGAAATATGATGTTTGTACAATTCAATTGTATAATACAAGCCATAAATGAAGTCCTGAGGAATGTTTTTGAACTTTTAATGCATGTTTTGAAACTCCCACATCCGGAGGCCCCATCTCTGGTCCACATGTCCGGTTGCATTTTTGGTCTCTCTGTCTCTGTGTGTGTGTGTGTGTGTC